AGAGGGTCTAATGGAGTCCATTGGTAATGGTTCAAAGACCAAAGTGTGGTAGGAAAGATGGATACTGGATTCATAATCGGAGACCCATTAACAAGCAAAGCTTAATTGAAATAAATGTGGATGTGTCAACACTGCTAGTTTCGAGCAATAAGTGGAAGACAAATATGGTTAATGAGTTGTTTCCAGTTGCAAAAGCAACTAAGATCATGAAAATACCGGTTGGTGCATGGAGTAGAAGATATTTATATTTGGGTTTATATAGATCACATATCGTTTACCGCGAAGAGTAGATATTGGTTTACAGTGAATCATCATCCAATCCCTCCTCTGCCTCCAAGTTCTCTAGACTTAGATAAATTTAAAATAGATAGTATGGAAAAAAATGCATAAGTTATGCTCGAGAGATTTTCCAGTGAATACAAATGCCGTTTATGTGATTTAGATACAGAGAAGATCAATCACGTCTTATTCTAATGCTTCATAACTTAGTAAATATGGGAGATAGTGGACATTCTCATTCCACAACTGGTTTTGGAGACTCGTGGAGAAAAAATTGACATTTGTTTTCAATCTGATGGAAACGAATGGAATTCCATAGCAGATTAATGAATCAATTCTTTGTATAATGTTGAAAACATGAAAATTAGCAGGGATCACTGACAAGTGAGAGAAAACCGTTGGCAGAATTCAAGTCAAATTTTGTGAAATGCAATATTAATGGCAATTGGAGGAATCATAAATTGTATTGTGATGGCTTATGGATTGCTAGAGATCGTAGAAATTTAGTTTTATACCATTTTTGTGAGGCCTTCGCTTGTTCTAGAAATTGAATGATCGAGGAATATCAGTATATGATTTGGGCTATGTATGGATTGCTAGAGATCGTATAAGTTTAGTTTTATACTATTTTTGTGAGGTTTTCGCTTGTTCTAGAAATTGAATCATCGAGTAATTCCAGTGATTTGGGCTATATATGTAAAACTACAAAATATGCAACTCAAAGCATAGTGAATTGCATCTGATTGTCAGACCACTTATGAGGCATTATTGAAACCAAGATATTGACCAAAATACTGAGTCTTTACAGAACACATTCAGAGGTTAAAAACATGTTTCAATAATTGGTCATTTTGAATTGGAGACATCTCCACAACGAATTCAATTGTGAGAGATATCCAAAAATGTAACTTGGGATGGGAGATTTAATTCGTACTTCATCTTAAGAGATTCAATTATGTAATCACGTAACATCACGTGTTATCTAGTTAAGTTTAGTCATTTTGCATAACGTGCGAGTTAGTTTAGTATATTTACCTTATTTTGGTCACTTCGACCGATTCTACACAATAACATATATAATTTGATGAATAATATCACATTGTGCTTGAATCCCGTCCACAAAACTGTGTAGATGAGTGGTTAAGAGATCAAAAGTTATCAAATTTGGTTAACTCATCACTGATGAAAATCCGAACCAATTAGTCATATTAACTCTTAAAAATTAAATTCATTTGCATAATATTTTTTTTATTTGATATAAGCCTCTTCATAAAATAAAA